GGCAGGTTGGGGTAAGGCCGGGGCCGGTCGCCGGAGGTGCGCGCCCCGGTGGTTGCTTGTCACGAGCTACCTAAGGAAGAGGCGTGCGGAGCGGGTGACTGGTTGAAGTTCAGTCTCGAAGCGTAGGCCGGATGGACCGTGTTCCCAAGTCCTGGCCGTTAGCAAGGAGCGCTTCCAAGCTTCTGAGTCAGTGGGGTAGCTGTATGGCTGGGGGTTTCCGGCTGTATTTGTGAATGGCAGCAAAGGCAAAAGCCCTTCCTTTCCGGCTGTATTTGTGAATGGCAGCAAAGGCAAAAGCCCTTCCCGGCGTGACGAAGGATGCTTTTTTTGGAAACTGTTAGCCCCTGTTAAGGTAGGTTTATCGTTGCAGTAGTTTTGTCTGAACGCTGTATTTGTGAATGGCAGCAAAGGCAAAAGCCCTTCCCGGCGTGACGAAGGATGCTTTTTTTGGAAACTGTTAGCCCCTGTTAAGGTAGGTTTATCGTTGCAGTAGTTTTGTCTGAACGCAGCCCAAACATATTAGGTGGCACTTTAATGAAAAAAAAAAAAAAAGGTGTTAGTTTTACCAGTTCTTAATACCAAGGCAGGTTTAATTCGGTCACCGTAATAAGAATATCTCTGATTAGAAATAACACCACAGTGACTGAAGTCTAAAGTGATCCTTTGGCAGGCAGAATGAGGCAAAGGAGGTCTTGTGACTAGAGAAGTTTAACAGACTTCCTAAGCAGAAATAAAACTGGCATGTGTATGAATCACGAATCATATATTTTTTCGCTATCCTCAGTGTAATGACAAATGACAACTCACAAATCGCAGTTCATATTTTCTGGTGCCTGGTTAAAATATCTTTTTACCACTTGTATATACATAGTCATTATTTCCAATTTTCCACTTCATTCAGTTGAAATATTTCAAATGGTCATAATCAAAAATGTGACCATCAAAGCACTGGTTTTTGCCAGCAGATCTCTCAAAGAGGCATGCATCTTTTGTGGTTGACAAAGGAGCGGATAACAAGAAATTAACTCAGTTCTTGTGTAACTTTGAATGTGTCACTTACCTTCCTCTGTGCCTCAGTTTTGCAATTCATAAAATAAGACTGACCATATTTGTCCTAGCATTTGTCTCTTTTATTTGCTTCGGTAGTAACATGGTGATTTTTCTGCCATAAATGTGATTCAGTCTGACTGTTAAATATATCAAATTGAATTTTTTGAAGTAGTCCTCATGTTTCTTTTAGTACATCTTAACTGTTGTCATAATAATTAAATACTGCCTCCTGCTTTCCGTACGCTTGTAGACAACACGTGCTCAGCATGATAATCAGAAAACAGTAATTGAGTAAAAGACAAAGTCCCTGCCTTCAGGATTTGTGAATGCTTAAAAAACCATTTTAGCCAATAATCAAAAGCCTGTGCAGCTATGTAAGGGGAATGGTGGATTTAAAGTATCCTAGTTCTTCAGTGGCTAGAGGAACCTTTATGGAAAAGCTTGTATAGGCATACCAACTGTAGCACTGGGGTACAGTGTAAACTGGAGTTTAGTGCAAGTTTTTCACAACTGGGTAAAGTATTCAAACAAATCCCAGCATCAGAAATAATCACCAGAATAATTGCCTATTTTGTGCTTCTGCCTGAGAAGATTAGTTGGCTTTTGGCAGGGATGCAGTGCTAGCAGCAGCAGTAGATATCTGGCTTTCATTAATATAATTGTGCTTTGTTTGGACAATCACGCAAAGGTAGAATAAAAGTCAAAAGGTTCTCTCATACTCATTTTTTCACTTGCTCTTGTATTCATTCAGGTTAGTATTTCTGGAAGAAAATGGAAAGGATTGAAACGGGAAGTGCCGAATCCTAATTCAGTAATAAATAAGTTGAATTTAAAGCATATGCTTAAGCGCGTTTTTTTGAATTGTGCTTTAGGATTGCATTGTGAACCTGATTATAGTCTGCTCTAAAGCTCCTTTGCAGCACAAGCTGTTATACGGTGAATCTGACTGTCCTGATGTAGTGTTAGTAAGAAGCTCGCTTTTTCCTGTAACAGATTTCAGTCTGCTCTTCTCCCCTCAGCCAGGAAGGATGAGTTTTATCTATTTTTTCATATCATTGCTACGCTCAAAACGACAGGTTAAAATTTTTCAAGCACCATCTGGTACTGAGAAAGGGAGGTAGCAACAGAGAGAAGACCCTAAAATGAAAAAATGCCTTTAGTGCTCAAGTTAAATAAAGAGTAAGCTTAGATCAAGACTGTATCCACTCCAGTAAGTGTAGGAGGACAAGAAATAAGATAAGGAAACATGTCCAGAAAGCATGACTGACATGACAATATTTACCTTTCCTCACAGATACAGGATCCTGACCTTAGGCACCAGTATTTAAACACCTACAAATTTTCCAAAGGTGCAGAACAATATGTAGCTTCTGTTTCAAACTGATGGGAGAAGTGCCTTTAAAATAGCAGTAAACTGAATTCAGACCTTTTCGATATGTTCCTAAGTGTGTATTTTCGGGTAGGATTTTCAAGCAAGCTCAGCACTGGGCTAACTGCTCACTCAAAAGCAGGTCCAGGTCCATCCTTGCTGTTCCTGGAAGGGAGGAGTTGGGTCATGCAGACTGAAAATTCGCACCAGCAAGGTAGGTTAAGTGTTGCAATCCGTGTGTTCTCCTCCCTCTTCTCATAGAGGAGTTCAGCTTATTAAGAGTCTGCTGACTTCTTCCTCCTACCTATAAAGTTGCACCCAGGAATGGTTGGCAGCGCGGCGTGTTTTTAAAGATCTCATCCTATGTGCCTAGCCTCGGTGTTTCTGATTTTTCTTTATGTGTTTAAATATACAATCACACATTTTTTCTTTACAACTCTAGAGTGCAAATTTTTGTCAGCCTAAGCCAGAATCACACCATCAATTTGCAGCTGAAAGATTCCGTATCCCATATCCAACCCCCTACAAAATCCAGTCCTCAGAAAACAGTCTGGGAAACTCCTGATGCATGATCGGGGATTCCAGTTGATATCATGGTCCCAACCAGGAAAATGTAATTTGTTTCAGTAAGAAATAAATTGTTTTGCTCAAGTGCAAATCCTTCCTGCAGAGACAGTATCATCATAATACATGATTAGCCATTATGATCTCCTGTCATTTCACTCTGAGAGAATTATGGCTCTGACACTGGGGATGTAAGACTACAGACGGAGCACTGCTTGCTACAAATCTCTTGTAAAGCTGCTGCAGTACATCTCTCAGGGAAGAGTCATTGCATAAAAAAAACTATGCTAAAGGGACCTGTTGTTTGTTTTCTTCGGGAAGATGGGAAGAGGAACTGTGAGAGGACATGCTGTTCCACTCTTCACTCCTTAACATCATGCAAGGAAGCATTCATCAGAGAAGATTCCGCTTATTCTCAGAGTAAGGTGAAAAAGGAAACGTGGCAATATTCAATGTGTTGTATGACTAACTTTCTGTATAGCACTTTATATGTGAGG